AGCTGAGGGGGCGCTCCTCAAGTGGCAGCCGAGGGGCATTTACAGAGGCGCCTCTGCACCCCTGGCAAAAAAGTGTTCTGCGACCACTTACTTCGCGTAATGGACGAGCCGCCCCTGGTGGCAGGGAGAATCATTTCTTCAAGTCATTGCTACAGCCTGTTGCTCTTTTGAAAATCCTCAGTAGAATATTTTTTCCAATTATTTTTATTTTATTTAAGTAGACATACATTTGCAAGTGTTTGTTGCATACGGTGCAATATCTATTAATGTTCTATAATCATTTATCTGATAATATATTTCCATTAAGGGGTCACGGTCTAATATCTAAATAATACATATAAAGATATTATAGACTCTTACTTTACATCTGCTTCTTTCTTGTCTACAATCTTGGGAGAGATTTATTTTTCATGTCAGGAGTGATTTGAGAAACTGCAAGTTGCTTCTGGTGTGAGAGAATTGGCCGTCTGAAAGGACATTGCCCAGGGGACCCCAAGATGTGCTGCCATCTTGTAGGAGGCTTCTCTCATGTCCCCACATGGGAAGCTGGAGCTGACAGATGGGAGCTCACTGTGCTCCCCAGATTCGAACCACTGACCTTTTAGTCAGCAGTCCTGCCAGCACAAGGGCTTAATCTAGTGTTTCTCAGTCTGGAGGCCAGGACCCCTGGGGGGATTGCAAGGGGATGTCAGAGGGGTAACCAAAGACCATCAGAAAATAGAGTAGTGGGAAGTTTGGCCCAATTCTATTGTTGGTAAGGTTCAGAATGCTCTTTGATTGTAGGTGAACTATAAATCCCAGCAACTACAGTTCCCAAATGTCAAGGTTTGCTTTCCCCAAACTCCACCAGTGTTCACATTTGGGAATATTGAATATTCATGAGAGGAAGCCACAGGGAGGAGGGAGCAAGCTTGTTTTCTGCTTCCTTGGAGACAAGGACACGGAACAATGGCTTCAAACTACAAGAGAAGAGATTCCATCTGAACATGAGGAAGAACTTCCTGACTGTGAGAGCCGTTCAGCCGTGGAACTCTCTGCCCCAGAGTGTGCTGGAGGCTCCTTATTTGGAAGCTTTTAAACAGAGGCTGGATGGCCATCTGTCAGGGGTGATTTGAATGCAATATTCCTGCTTCTTGGCAGGGGGTTGGACTGAATGGCCCATGAGGTAACTCGTATTTGTAGGACACTTTACTCCTTCCTCTACAGCTTTTGAGCACGTTTCTTCAGTGTATTTTCCTGTTCTTAATTTTTTAAAAGGCTCAGGACCCATCTATATTGCCATATAATGCAGTTTGAAACTGCATTATATGGCCGATGTAGACTCATATAATGCAGTTCAGTAGAGTTAAACTGCATTATATAAGTACACTAACCCTATAATGCAGTTTCAGCTACATTATATGGCAGTATAAATCCGCAGAGTGATTGTCATGGGTACTGGAATATGTGAAGAATGTGCTCCACAAAGGCTTTTAAAGAATATATGAATACTAATAATAATAAACAGATTTATGCAATTCTGACATCTCCCAGATGAAAAACAGAACTAGGTGCAATTTGCAGTTGGATATCAATATATTTCTGAACTTGTGATGAATTCTGTGAAATAAAAAGAATTTGTTGTCGAAGGCTTTCATGGCTGGAATCCATGGGTTGTTGTAGGTTTTTCCGGGCTATATGGCCATGTTCTGGAGGCAATTTTTCTCCTGACGTTTCGCCTGCATCTATGGCAAGCATCCTCAGAGGTAGTGAGGTCTGTTGGAAATAGGAAAAATGGGTTTATATATCTGTGGAATGACCAGGGCGAGACAAAGGACTTATGTTTGCTGGGGCTAGCTGTGAATGTTTCAGCTGATCACCTTGATTTGCATTCAATGGCTTGGAAGCGCCTGGGGGGAATCTTTTGTTGAGGGTGGTTTCATGTGCCTGTTTGTTTCCCCTCTGTTGTTTTGCTGCTGTAATTTTTGAGTTTTTTAATACTGGTAGCCAGATTTTGTTCATTTTTATGGTTTCTTTCTTTCTGTTGAAATTGTCCACATGCTTGTGGATTTCAATGGCTTATCTGTGTAGTCTGACATGGTGGTCCAGCATTTCTGTGTTCTCAAATAATATGCTGTGTCCAGGTTGGTTCATCAGGTGCTCTGCTATGGCTGATTTCTCTGGTTGGAGTAGTTTGCAGTGCCTTTCATGTTCCTTGATGCGTGTTTGGGCAATGCTGCGTTTGGTGGTACCTATGTAGACTTGTCCACAGCTGCATGGTACATGGTAGACTCCTGCAGTGGTGAGTGGATCCCTCTTGTCAGTTGCTGAACGTAGCATTTTTTGGATTTTCTTGGTGGGTCTGTAAGTGGTTTGTATGTTGTGTTTCCTCATCAGTTTCCCTATGCGGTCAGTGGTTCCCTTAATGTATGGCAAGAACACTTTTCCTCTGGGAGGATCTTCATCTTTACTCTCGTGGTTTGTTCTTGGTTTTGCAGCTCTTCTGATGTCTGAGGTGGAGTATCCATTGGCCTGGAGAGCCCAGTTTAGGTGGTTCAGTTCATCTTGGAGGGGGTGGGGTTCGCAGATTCTTTTTGCATGGTCTGCCAAGGCTTTAATGGTGCTTCTTTTTTGACTTGGGTGATGGTTGGAGTTTTTATGTAGATATTAGGGCTGGGCGGTTTTGTTCGTTAATTTCGTAATTCGTTATTAATTCATTATTTTTTTTATAACGAAGCGATATTGAACCATTCAGGAGCAATTAAAAATCGAAACAAATTTTTCAATTCATTTCGTAATTGTTTCGTAATTGTTTTGAAATCGTTTCGAAATCGTTTCGTTATTATTTCCGCATGTCTGGTGCAAGTTTTATAGTTGTTGTTTGTTTTATCAGTGAAAAAAAATATAATTATCACACCAACAGTCAACAACAGAGGGAGAGGGAAGCTTCAGAAGTTCCCCCTGTCCCATTTGGAGGTTTTTTTAGCATATTGCGCGGTCGCGTCCGCCATTAACGAATCGATTCGTAATTGTTTCGTAATTGTTTTGTAATTTACGAAATTTTGTAAATTTCAAACTTTTTTAAAGAAAAATTTCGGAATTCTTTTAAAAATCAAAACGCAAAACCCCCCTAAAAACGAATCGAGTTTAGAAACAAATTTTTCCGTGGTTGCCCAGCCCTAGTAGATATCTATCCATGTGTGTGGGTTTTCTGTAAACGGTGTAAACGGTAAAAAGAATGTGATCAGCAAAGCTAAACATGCACAAACACCAATGGCATAAATAGGGAAAAGAAAGCCCACAGACATTCCCAGTGGGTACTTGAGGTCGAGGAGAATCTTTTACATTTCAAAAAGAGTACAGTAAAGGCAGCGGTCTAAAAATATCAAGACGTTTTCATTCATGAAACCTTATCTCTTGCCCTTGCTTTGCTCTGCCTTGACATTTAACATAATTATTTTTCCAGCAGGTGGGAATCATCCTTAGTGAAATAAACTGAGCCTAATCCTTACTGCAGGCCTTCCTCAGTCAACACTTTCCCTGCGGTCTCGTTTTACTACTAACCCTATCTTTCTTTTTTTCCGTATGTTAGAAAATAATGGTGAAAACCATACCTTCTGGTGGGTTTTGCAATATCTTCAGTTTGCTGTAATATAGACATTGTATTTTGCCAAATGGGTGCAATCCGCAATAACCCTTCTCTCTCTCTCTCTCATTTTGTTTAGGTTTTATATCTTGGATATTACGTTTCACATCTGAAGATAATGGCATTTCTAAGTCTCCAAGTGTTGATTGGGGTGTTTATTTGCTCTTGCAGCGTGAAAGGATCTTCACAGCCTCAGGCCAGGGTGTTCTTAACATTCAATGGTAAGAAAACAGATAAACATTCCAAGGCAAATGTTATTGCAGAACATTGTCTTCTTTCCTTTCATACCAGCAACGACGCAATACATAAAATTATATCTTCGTCATTGTGATCTCTCTAGCTCACAATTCTAGCATTAGAACTTTAGGGTTTGTTTTGTGTCCGATCTTAGCAGTGTTTATAAAACAGATTTGATTATTTAGAAGAAAATGTGACTTTGGGAAATGGAAATACTGTATATACTCGTGTATAAGCCTAGTTTTTCAGCCCCCTTTTTAGGCTGAAAAAGTCCCCCGTGGATTATACTTGAGTCAAGATTATATATTATTTTACTCTTTTATTATTATTATTATTATTATTATTATTATTATTATTTCATTTCATTTATTTTCACTTTCTTTGGAAGCTTTTAAGCAGAGGCTGGATGGCCATTTGTCAGGGGTGGTTTGAATGCAATATTCCTGCTTCTTGGCAGGGGGTTGGACTGGATGGCCCATGAGGTCTCTTCCAACTCTTTGATTCTATGATTATTTTATTATTTTATTATTATTATTACATTTATCATTTTACTCTATTATTATAAATTTATTGTTTTACTGTATAATTGTTGTTATTGCTACATTCATTATTTTACTCTTTTTATTATTGTTGTTATTATTACATTTATTATGTTACTCTCTTTATTATTATTGAAATGATACGTAAGCACTAGGCCTGGGTAACAACGGAAAAAATTGTTTCTAAAATCGATTCGTTTTTTGGGGTTTTTTTGCGTTTCGATATTTAAAAGAATTACAAAATTTTCCTTTTAAAAAGTTCGATATTTACGAAATTTCGTAAATGGTAAAAAAATTACAAAACATTAACGAATCGATTTCCAAAACAATAACAATCGATTCGTTAATGGCGGACGCGACCGCGCAATATGCTAAAAAACCTCCAAATGGGACAGGGGGAACTTCTGAAGCTTCCCTCTCCCTCTGTTGTTGACTGTTGGTGTGATATTATAATTTTTTTTCACTAATTAAACAAAAAACAACTATAAAACTTGCCCCAGACATGCGGAAATAATAACGAAATGACCTCAAACCAATAACGAAACAAATACATAACGAATCCAAAGCATTTACGAAATGAATTAAAAAATTTGTTTCGTTTTTAAGTTGCTCCAGAATGGTTCGTTATCGCTTCGTTATAAAAAAATGAATTTTTAACAAATTACGAATTAACGAAACAAAACCGCCCAGCCCTAGTAAGCACATTTATTTATTAATTTACAATTTATTATTTATGTATTTATTTATTTAGAACATTTTTATACCAGTCTTCTTACCTCTGCAGAGGGACTCAGGCCGGTTCACAACAACAGCATCACAGACAATCACCTCCCATAATACACTAAAACATTAAAATATTAAAATACAATCATATAATTACATAGGCCACATCGTCAAAGTGAAATCGTAGTTCATCACCATCCGTCCATGTGGTCACGAGTTATTAACTCACTCGTCAAATGCCAATTTCCAGAGCCAGGTTTTCACCTGTTTTCTAAAAGTCAGGAGAGAAGGGGCAGTTCTAATCTCCAGTGGGAGAGAGTTCCAGAGCCGAGGGGCCACCACCGAGAAGGCCCTGTCCCTCGTCCCCACCAGACATGATTGTGAGGATGGTGTGACCGAGAGCAGGGCCCCTCCAGAAGATCTTAACAATCTTGATGGTTCATAGGGGAGAATCCGTTTGGACAGGTAAACTGGCCCGGAGTCGTTTAGGGATTTATAGGTTAGCACCAGCACTTTGAATTGTGCTCGGAAGCTAATTGGCAGCCAGTGGAGCTGGCGCAACAGAGGAGTAGTATACAACATTTATATGCCGCCCTTTTTACCCTGAAGGGGACTCAGAGTGGCTTACAAGTAAAAAGTAAATACAATATAGTATTATCATAGCACAATATTAATATTATATATTACATTGTACTATAACATTAGACTGTAATATTATTAGTAATATTACATTTAATATAAATAAATAAATATTATTAGTAGTATATTATTTACACTGAAGAAGGTAAATAATCATTTAATCAGAGTTGGACAGTCTTATCTTAAATTACCATTTTTGTAAATATTCAAAAATATATAACCTGCTGATCCCTCAATTAATGTAATTTAATTGGTATCTATTTGTATTTTGCAATTTGCCAGTAGCTGCTGCCTTTCCCACCCTCGGCTTATTATTCGAGTCAATCCGTTTTCTTAGTTTTTTGTGGTAAAATTAGGTGCCTCAGCTTATAATCGGGTCGGCTTATACTCGAGTATATACGATATGTTTGTAGCCTGAATGTGCTTGGCATGAGTTCTCACTGTATGTCTAATGGAAATGCCTTCAGAGAATCTGCCAGGGCATTATTCACATAGCCAGTAGGGCTGTTTCTAATTTGATGAATTTTCTATATAGGGAGCACACCAGTTCTTGCAAATGATAGTCTTATTTTCCATAAGCCTATTGTTCTACTAAGCTATGTTTCCAGTGGCTTCCCGAGAACGCCCTTGCTGTTAACCCACAATATGTCTCTCCTCTTAAATGCCAGCTACACTGTTATAGAAAATTGGGGTGCTTAGTAGGGCTGGGCGGTTTCGTTTCATAATTTCGTAATTCGTTAAAAATTCGTTATTGAACCATTCAGGAGCAACTAAAAAACGAAACGAATTTTTCCAATTCATTTCGTAATTGTTTCGTTATTGATTCGTAAATGTTTCGTTATTATTTCCGCATGTCTGGTGCAAGTTTTAGGGTTGCTGTTTGTTTTCTCAGTGAAAAAAATATATAATTATCACACCAACAGTCAACAACAGAGGGAGAGGGAAGCTTCAGAAGTTTTTTTAGCGTATTGCGCGATCGCGGCCGCCATTAACGAATCAATTCGTAATCGATTCGTAATTGTTTCGTAATCGGTTTTATGATTTCCGAAATTTCGTAAATATCGAACTTTTTTTTAAGGAAAATTTCGGAATTCTTTTAAATAACGAAACGCAAAAAAACCCTAAAAACGAATCGAGTTTAGAAACAATTTTTTCCATGTTTGGACAGCCCTAGTGCTTAGCTAGTTCAAGGAAGAATTTTCTTTGTTGCTTTCACCTGGGTTCAGACAGTTTTTAAAAAAGACATCTTGGGGTGTTTATGTTAAAGCCAGTATTTAAAACTATCCCACCTCCGTTGTCCTCAGCCATGCTCTGTATATGTCCCATTGGTTTTTCATGTTTTTTATGGACACGAGCAAATACAAACTATTCAAAAGCCTTGCCTCCACTTGACTTGCATGACCGGCATGTAAATAAATCAAAACAAAGGATGGCTTAAAGGGCAAGGGCATGGAGTAATATACATATTGGGTTGTTGTAGGTTTTTCCGGGCTATATGGCCGTCTTCTGGAGGCATTTTCTCCTGACGTTTTGCTTGCATCTATGGCAAGCATTTTCAGAGGTAGTGAGGTCTGTTGGAAGTAGGAAAATGGGTTTATATATCTGTGGAATGACCAGGGTGGGACAAAGGACTTTTGTCTGCTGGAGCTAGGTGTGACTGTTTCAACTGACCACCTTGATTAGCATTTAATGGCTTGGAAGTGCCTGGGGGGAATCTTTTGTTGAGAGTGATTTGATGTGCCTGATTGTTTACTCTCTGTTGTTTTGCTGTTGTAATTTTTGAGTTTTTTAATACTGGTAGCCAGATTTTGTTCATTTTCATGGTTTCATCCTTTCTGTTGAAATTATCCACATGCTTGTGGATTTCAATGGCTTCTCTGTGTAGTCTGACATGGTGGTTGTTAGAGTGGTCCAGCATTTCTGTGTTCTCAAATAATATGCTGTGTCCAGGTTGGTTCATCAGGTGCTCTGCTATGGCTCTTATATACCCTTCCCCCACATTAAAAATGCAACTCCCACCAAGACAAAAACCCGTGTAAATCACCCACCCAAATAGTTGCCCGTTGTCTTTCTGGGTCAGCCACCGCAGGTGTCTTGTCAGTGTCCAATGTCAGAACCCTGATTCCTGGTGCCAAAACCAAGGCCTTGGAAACTGGGTCCTGATAACTGTGTACGATATTTGGAAGCAGGTAGCAGCATCCTTATCCAGTTAGTTGTGGCTCAGAGATTGGGAAGTACAGAAGTGAACATTGATGCTTATTTATTTCCTGATAGTAAGAATTGATAATTTCAGCAATTTTCTCTCTCTTCTATGAGAATATAATTTTTGTGTAGTCTTTCTTTCAGACTTCATTTAATTTCAGATTTCATTTAAAGCACCAGATTTGTGGCGCAGCTGGCTGAGTGTCAGCTGCATTAAGGTCACTCTGACCATAAGGTCATTGGGTTTCCAACCAATTGTGTAGCCTGTTGTGACCTTTGCAACCCGAAAGACATCTGTCAAGTAGGAAAATTAGGTACCACCTTAAAAGTGTGGGGAGGCTAAATTAACTAATTTATGAGGCCATAAAAAAGACTCCAGCAAAGCACTCCAGCAAAAAAGCATGCGGGGAATGCGGAAGTACTTCATCAGTGTCGCAGATGGATGATGAAAGCGACAGCTCCCCTGGTAGCCAGAAAAGTTAAATAGTATCTGTGTATGTCTGTATATATTGTATGTCAAAATTGGCATTGAATGTTTGCCATATATGTGTACACTGTAATCCGCCCTGAGTCCCCTGCGGGGTGAGAAGGGCGGAATATAAATGCTGTAAATAAATAAATAAAATAATAATTAAATTTGGTTGGCAAAAAAGGTATAAGTGTGTATTGTCAAAGGCTTTCATGGTCGGAATCACTGGGTTGTTGTAAGTTTTTTCGGGCTACATGGCGATGTTCTAGAGGCATTTTTTTCCTGACGTTTTGCCTCATCTAAGGCAAGCATCCTCTGAGGATGCTTGCCATAGATGCAGGCGAAACGTCAGGAGAGAATGCCTCTAGTGGTTCTCAACGTTCCTAATGCTGCGACCCCTTAATACAGTTCC